GGTCAAAAGGTATCAAAAGCCATGTTTCTTCTAATGGGTTTTGCTGAGCTGAAGACAATTAAATGGTAAAGCTTACTCCGCGATTGGAACAGCCATGCCGCAAGAGAAATTCTTAAAGAATTTTGGCAGAAGACTAATTATTCCATTGACACACACAATGATGCAAAAAACTGTCCTGAATTTTCAGAATGGAGCAAGAGCCATAGTAGGCCACTGTTAATATCATGAATAGCCTTTAATGTTCATCTCCGTAGAGCTGCCAGTTCAATATCATTTGTGAGAACTGAAATGGTTCAAAATAGACTGTGACCTTTTAATGCAAAACCTTGAAACAAGGGGAAAACTTGATTCACTCCAAGTGTTTCACCTTAGACTGGGGGTGGGGAGTCCTAGAGAAATGCTCCTCAGGATGGCTGGATAAAAGCAGCAGGAGACCTGGAATCCATTCTTCCTGCCACTTTGTTTATTTTTATGTGGAAGAATTCATGCATGAAATCTCCCTACCTGCAATATGAAGTGGTACTGCTTAGGTAAGTTTTAGCATCTTGTTTGTTGTTTCTGCAGATAAGGCTGAAATATTCAACATCATGGTCTTAGGGTTGCCAAGTCTCTGCAGAAAAAGCTCTCTATCCCTTTAACAGAGGTTTAATGAGATATTTACCTGGTGACATTACTTACCTCCATGCTATGAAAAAACTCAGTGTGTAGTGTAAGGACAGCAAATGAAAGAAATTTCAAGGGGCAGATGATTACTTCTAAAAAGTGGGGTTTCCCCCCCACAAAAGTGAGATTTATGTGGATGCATGTATGTGTGTACAGTTTTCAATGAGCCTGCAATAGTTAGAGAGCAATCCTAAACAGGTCTTCTCTGGATCCTACTCAGGCCTATTGAATGGGTTTTATTCCCAGGACAGTTAAATAGGGCTTAAGCCATGTCAGGCTTAAGAGGACAGGAGAAAACAGAAGGGTTGCACCAACCAGAGATATTTTAAAAATAGGCAAAAAGCTGATGGTACAGATGAGGAAAAATATTTATTATTCAGGTGTAAAATTTCATATGCGTTTTGCAATAAAGGTTTTTCAGGGAAATCTGTAACAAAATACATAAGAGCTGAGTTGGGATCTGTGTTCAGATATAACTGAGTCAAAATATATCCAAAAAACCCTTATTGGCTCCCCCAAATATATCTGGGATTGTTCAGGATACTGAAAAAATGAGTTCCAAAAAAATCCCAGAAATATTCGGGATTAATCAGGGATATCAGGAGCTGGCAATTTCAGGCTCCCATGGACTGCCCCCCCCCCATTTTTTTAGTTTTTACATTTTTCATGGTTTCCCCTCCATCAATGGATAGATAGCTGCAGGCAACTTGTTCAGGGACCCATAGAATTGGGCCCCTTGGGCCAACTGACTTGAAATTTGGTTGTTATTTAAACAACAAACACCAGAAGCTGTCCTGCAATATTGGTGCCAGTACCTTTAAAATACCCTGCCACCAGCCCCACATAAACATTCCCCATAGAGAATAATGGAATTGAAAACAAACAGAAACCCTCCCCCCCCCAAACTATCAGAACCCCTCCCCCCCCCCCGGAATCCGAATACCATACTGGTATTTGGAACCTGGGAACACTGATATTTTTCAACTCCAATATATCTTGATCTGAAAAATACTAATTTTTCTCTCAACACCCTAGAGTTGAGCTCTCTTAAGCTATGTCAGGTTTAGGAGGCCCCATAACTTTACCTTAACATATTCTTTCTAAACCTGGCTTGCCTTCAACTCATGCCCACATGACTATCATATGGGCTTGGGGAGGTTTACAAACAGTTTTTACCCTCCCCCCAAAGGGGGGGGAAGTGAGAGAAATCATATTTAACTGTACTCATGGCTGCTTGCACTTGTTGCAATACAAGTTAGCTCAATCACTTGCAACCGTTTTTTTGTTTCAGTCTTTTTTGCAAGCACATTCCAACCACTCAGGACACGCACTGCACATTTATGGAAGCTGCAACCACTATTGGTTGCCGCAACTGACCACCTCAGTGCCATCTCCAATAACTGGGACAGAGGACACCCTATGGATTGTGTCGGGTTGTACAGAAGGGCAACAAAGCGATGAAGAAAGGAAGAGATGTCACAGGTACTGGACCTTTCCAAATATGATGCAAGTGCTGATGCAGCCTCATCAATGTCCATCCATTTCTGTGATAAGGAAATAGTGGGCTACTGATAGAGCAATGGCATCACTATTTATTTATTTATACACTGCTTTTCTCCCCAGTGGAGGAACCAAAGCAGCTTGCATCATCACTCTCCCCTCCTCCATTTTATCCCCACAACCACCCTATGAAGTAGGTTAGTAAGCCAAGGTCACCCAGTGAGCTTTCACGGAATAGTGGGGATTCGAATTTTGGTCTCCCGAGATGCTAATGCAATGCTCTAACCAGTGCACCAAACTGGCTCTTACTATCAGCTGTATGTAATGCAATATTTCTGAAACTGTTTTCTATCATGTCTCACAAGTGGTGAATTGTCTTACATTCTGCTTCTTCATGACCCATGCAATCCCCCCCAGTCTGTGAGGTTTGTCTAAGCTTTAAATCATCCACAGTAGTTACCATCTGAATCCGTATGATGCAAAGATCCCCAGCAGTCAAAGCACCTTCTCCTTGCTTATGAAATTCCTCACTGAATCCTATCATATCTATGGAGTAGCACAGTCAGGATTTCCTCCTTGTTCCACTGTTCCCTTGGATATCTCTTAATACTGTTTCAGCCAAAGTAATTTTATCAGGGAGACATTTTCACAAAGCCCTTTCAGATGTACAGTTGGAAAGTATCAAAACGATAGTCCTTAAAACATTTTCTTTATGCGTGGCTTAAAAACAACAGTGCAATACCACTCCATAATGCACTATGGATTACAGAAAACTGAGAAGAGATGCTGAACATGTGTCTCCTCTAAGAGTGGTACACACAGAGACTTGGTGTTCACCCATATATCATCATTGTAGGAGAATGCGAGGGAAGGGCTGATTCTCTTGTTTGAACAATTGTTCTGTTCTGTATCTGTATCATGATTCAGATTCAGCCTTGAAAACCGTTGAACTTCTGCTTCAAGTACTTCTGGATACTATTTTAATTGTTATGCTCGTGGTTGGCATACTGAACAGATGCAGCTATTTCCTTCCCCCCCTCCTCAATTCAATAAGTTACAGTTCTTATTAACAAGATGTTCCTCCATGAAGGAAATGCACAGATTTATTCCTAATTCTGTAAAAAATATTGTGACAACAATTTGTCTTCAAGTGATGCTGCTATTAATACCTATAAGATCTGAATCAGTTTCCATGGATAAATTGCCAGACTCTATCTTGCCTCTGCCATAAACTCACTAGAAGTGCCATCCTAAGCACATTGCCAACCTTTGATTTAGAAAGGAGTAACTCTGTCTCTGCCCCCCTAACCTGGATAGCCCAGTCTAGCCCCATCTCATCAGAACTTGCTATGCAGGGGCAGCCTTGATGAGAACTTGGACAGGAAGTCTGGGGTTTCTATGCAGAGGCAGGCAAGGGCAAACCATCTCCATCTGCCTCTTGCCTTGAAAACCCTACAGGGTCACCACGTCAGCTGAGACTTGACAATACTTTCCACCACCAACTCAGTCTCTTCATTAATAGTCTTATTACATGAACATAAGCTGGAATCATTTGCATGGTTCAGAGGAAGGCGGCAATCTGTTTCTCTCTAATTGATTTGATAGTAGTCTCAAATTACCCAATTATTTGGCATATCTCTGGACTATTAAGCATCCAGGGTCTTGGTACTGAAGGGTTCTGTTAGCCCCACTGCTCTACCATCATCTTTAACTCTGCCATTATTATGTTTGTTTTAAACTTATTGCTCAGAAGAAATACTTTGTTTTATGAACAACAAATTTATTTGAGTTGCCAGTTCGATCTCTATCAATTTATCGAAAGGACCTGGAGGAAATGTCTGTGAGGGGGGGGGGGGAACTGTCACAACAGAGGCAGCCATTATCTCTTCTGAGTGAATATGTAACATGAACATTATACATTAAAATAAATTATCATCCTTTAATATGTACACTCAATATTATTAAAACATTAAAAATATTCACAAATTCCTCCGTTTCAAAAACCACAAGAATATCATTGTATAAGCTCTCACAAATGATATGGAGATGATTTAAAAGGCCATTTGTATGACACCACCATATTGGAAGCTGTGCATTTCCCAAGATGGCTCCATATCCAAAATTTACTGTAAACCTGATACCTAAAATCTTCCAAAAACAAATCTTCTTTTCAATAGTATACCATCAACCATTCCAGCTACTTTAGACTTTGCTTAATTATATTAAGAACCTGTATCAACAGCAGACATTAAAAATATACCTACAATATTCTTTACAACAGAATAAGCCATTTTTTCAGAAATACATGGTGGCATGAATGAGTCACACACACCCATGTGTATGGTTTAATTATGTATATGGTTTAATTATCCGTATACATAACCATCAATATAATCCATGGATTTATTTTTTATTTGGGTCACTTATATAACCCACCTTTCAACCTAGTGGTTCTCAAGGATGGGTACAACAGCTAACACCACAAACTACAAACTAGCTAACCACATCAGATCACTAGAGAATTCATTGAAGCCCCAACCCCAAACAATTAACAATGAAAATCACAAGATAAAATCCAACTGCATCAAAAGATCCCTTATGAGTTCACTGAAGCTCCAACCTCCATATTTTTGCAGATATGTACACACTCTGTGTTATGTGTCATACTCATCTGTCACAGCTGCAATAGGAACTGGATTAGCTAAGCAGGAAATGATGCAGTGGAAGAAGGCGATGCAGTCTAGGAATGGGCATGCATGAACTGTTGGCCATGAACCTGGAAAGACGCATGGTTACTTTAACCTATTAATACAGTTTATCAAATAGGAAGAAATTACCACTGAAGCCTTTCGGAGGCTGAGACGGTCTGATCTGGCTCTGAAATATGCCTCATCGAAAGATGAATGACTTCCCTTTAGCTTCTCTGAGAGGTTTCGATAGAGTCGCTTCGCAGCATTAGGAGAAGATGGGGGGTTGTTCTTTTTCGCCTGGGAAAGCTGTAAACTCTGCATTTGCTGGGTCATTTTCATGTGGCAGTTCCTACAGGGAAAGCAGGTACAGCTTTATTTCTAGAATATACACAGAGTTATTTGCTAATTCAGTTCCTTAGTGGTACACTGAAATTTTGCACCAACAGTGAAGATCAATTCAATGGGGCTTACTCACAAGCAAAGTGTTCTTAGGATCCCCATGTAAATCCGATAGCTCTGCAACTGGATATGACAGGTTGCCTGATTCCTAATCATAATTGCTGTTGCTGGAGTAATCCCCATTTAATATGCCTGGCCTCCTGGCTCTGGCTCCCAGCAACACTTGCAAAAGGAAGCAGGGACAAGCTGCTGGCCATTTTGGTGTAGTGGTGAAGTGTGGGGACTCTAATCTGGGAGAACCGGGTTTGATTCCCTACTCCTCCACTTGCAGCTGCTGGATGACCTTGGAGAAGCCATAGTTCTGTCAGAGCTGTTCTTGAAAGAGCTCTCTCAGCCCCACCTACCTCACAGGGTGTCTGTTCTGGGGAGGGGGAGGGAAAGGAGTTTGTAAGCTGCTCTGAGACTCTGAGTGAAGGGCGGGGTATAAATCCAATCTCCTCCTCCTCCTCTTCCTTCTTCTTCTTCTTGTCTATCATCATTTCTCAGAGCAATACAACAGCCCCGTTTCCAGTCTAGCTCTGCCTCTTATTGTGACTTTCCCAAAGTCGTTCTCATGACTACATCACAGAAAGGACTTTATTTCACGGATCTCACATTTGTGCAGCAAGGAAGCCAAGCTACACACTGCTACATAAGAAAAAATGCACACATCTGCTTCAGAACATGAACACACATTAGGAATCTATACTGTCAGCTGTATGGACATGAAACAATATCCATCATGGGGGTGATGGGGAAAAATAATCCAAATGAGAATTAGGGTTTGTTTGCAAGCTGGGTAAATACATTTCTCTCTCTCTCTCCAAATTGGTTTTGGCTCACAAGCAAAGCAATGCGACTTCAGTCAACCACTGTAAAAGGGCACTTATGTAAAGGTTTGCGATACCTTTCATTCTAATTCAGAACATGGCTCAAGTTCCCAACTTTGCTTGGGATTATTTGATATGAAGAGGATTTCTTTGCCTTTGTTCATGGAACACTTTTCACTTTTTGTTATTGAAGCAGATTGCTTCACTTTTCTTCTTAATTGAACATAAGAACATAAGAACATAAGAGACGCCAATGTTGGATCAGGCCAAAGGCCCATCCAGTCCAACACTCTGTGTCACACAGTGGCCAGAAATACCAGTGCCATCAGGAGGTCCAGCAGTGGGGCCAGGACATTAGAAGCCCTCCCACTGTTGACCCCCCCCCCAAGCACCAAGAAGACAGAGCATCACTTGCCCCAGAGCCCCTAGCTATACCTTGTGGCTAATAGCCACTGATGGACCTCTGCTCCATATGCTTATCTAATTCCCTTTTGAAGCCGTCCATGCTTGTAGCACCCACCACTTCCTGTGGCAGTTGGAAGCTTTCAGTTTCACAAACTCCTGTTTAACTTTCCCTCTCTTTGCTGTGAGTGGCAGCAGCAAAGCAGACGTTTGGAACATGAAAAGATTTGTTCACAAACAACCACAGATACTTCCAAGGCTAATGAACTATTGTAAACAGAGAACCTTCTGAATGACAAACATATGCTGAGAGACAGGCAATAACTAGGACACACAAGGAGGAGAGCACCTCATTAAACACAAACGGCAGTGCCTGTCAGTGGGAGAGAATTTTGCAAGGGATGCTTTCCTGGAATGGAATAAGTGAGATAAAAAGAAAAGAGACAAGGTAAGCATTCTGAGTATTCTGGGACTGCAGCCCGAAATTGATCTTGGCTTGCTGCTGAGACAGTGGGAAACTGCAAAAAAACATTATTAAACTGTTTAAAATAAATTAGTCTGTGGCATATTTCAGTGCTAGGGTACTTCCACACTAGAGAGTTTTTCTGTCCTCATCATGTTGCTGGTGCAATATTCTTTCAATTCAGACTTGCAACAGAGATTCCACATGGCTCGATGTAATCTTCTGATTGGTCATTGAAGATTTGATTGGCTGTGCAGATTTTTTTTAAATGTTGCCTTGGCAGCTGCTGACAACACTGCACAAGAATCTTCACTGTGTGACAAATGAAGGTAAGCTGCGGCAGCCATTTTGTTCCCAGATCAACCTCCTGCAACAGCCCATTTGTGGCTGTGCCCACCTCATCGTGTCAGAATTCCGAAGGTGACCATAGGCTCAAAAAGGCTGGGGACCCCTGTAACAGACCAATCCTTTCTCTGCTCTATTTACATATTTAAAAATTCACAGGTCATAAGGGCAAGATGAACACATTCCCAACATTTGCCGGGTTTCTTGTTCATTATTAATTCTGCAGTATAACCTAGCTCTTTGCTGAGTTTAAGTGCATATACAGACAACTCTAATTTTAGGGAACTTTGGCTTTCCTTGGATTACATGAGGTGGACCCAGATAGCTTTTCTGCTGATGAAAAACAGAGGAGGGAGACCTGTTTGACCACAAAAAGCTGGTAATCATGGGACCTGCATGGACAAAAGCCATGTGGGAAGGCTGCTGTAATAAGGAGGGAAATTGGGTGAGCTTGAATGGAAAAAGTTCACAGGATCCAACTCCAGGTCCTTAGCTGCAAAAAGCAGTGTTTTTCACTTTGGGAATAGATTTATTTTTTAAATAAATATCCCTGACGAAAGTAATATAAGTGGCCTGGGAGAGATCACAAGAGCAGCTGTGCTGGATCAGAGCAGTGGTCCATCTAGTCCAAAATGAAGGTTCAGTTGTTGTCCTCCAGCATTGATATTCGAAGGGTCCCTGCCTCTGAATACAGAAGTCCCACTAAGTATTCATAGCTAATAGCCACTGATGGACTGGTGCTCCATTTATTTGTCTAATCCTCTTTTAAACCCAACTGAACGAATGGTCATCACCCCCTCCTGTGACAGTGAGTTCCACAAATACACATGGCCCGTCAACCAACTGGAGCGCCCTTTAAATCTAGCAGGAGGGAGGGAGAGGGGTGGTCACAGGCCACATGCTTGGCTTGCAAAAGACCCCTTAAAGGGTCTTTTTGTGAGCTGAGTGGGGGCCGCAGCATGTGGGGCTTGGGGTGGAGCTTGGGGGCCTCCCCACCCACCCCTGGAACACCCCCCAGGGGACCTGGCTACCCTATCATGCTTTGAAAACAGAGGAGAGAGAGAAACCAAAAAGGCAATCACTCACTAAATGTTGAGGTATTCCTATGCAGGTTGAGAACCTGATGGTAGCTGCCATTTTAAAAATACTTGTTTACTGGGTTATCTGTTATTCTGCCACAGTTGAACAATGGGAAAGCACACAATAAGTAAGATCTTTGAAAAATATTTATAGTTAATTAATTGCTTTAAAATTTACACAAAAATGGTGCTTGGTTTTTGAGGGGAGAAAGTGCTTGTGTCACCCCAATTTGGTGACATGGGCATTAGCCAATTCGTACTTGTAATGCTCACAGCATGTACCACAGATAACTAAACTTTCTGGGGAAAGAATAATGATTTCTCATAAAATGGACATAGTAGAATCAGTACAGAGGAAATGCAGTCCCCCCCCCCAATGGAAGCACTTGTAGAAGGAATGTCACCTGGATAACTCACAAATGTTTATAATTATGATACATTCCTTCCATGAAAAACAGGTTCTAGACACATAAACTGTGAACCCTTGGGAAAGATTCTTCTTAATTGTGTAAAAGTTTTAACTAGCTTGGCTGTACCATGAGTCCAAAAAGGTGGTCATCTCAGGTGACAGCTTGGGGAGAGGGCAGAAACCTAATTGCCTGCTTCCTGTCCTGCCCACCTGTCTCCCCCCCTCTACCCCATGCCTCCGCTTCCATCATGTCTACCTAGGCAGTGCTTGGCAACTGGCAAGAGAGTTGTTGAATGGGCAGCATCCTGGGAGAATTTTTTTAAAAAAAATAATAAGGCTCTGTATGCTTACAGGAAGTTCTTACAATAGAGTTCCTTGTCATTTAAATATCTAATTTAATACAAAAAATAAAATCCCCCAGAGCTACCTTTTCACTTTCTTTTCAATTTTTCTTCCGCCAAGTGGGGGAAGATAACAGGATCTGGGGACCTGGCAGACTTCCCTCCACCTGAGAGCTCAAACAGCTAATCCTCCTTGCTCTGTCTCCCCTCAGCTCTCTATAAAAACAGTGGACAAGCCACACGTGCCCTCCTGGGCTTCCAGAAGTCTCACAAGATTCCTGCCTCTCATGAGAGGTAAGTCATCATTTTGGGTAGAGGGCAACCAAAATTATGCCTGAACTTCTGTGAGAGGAAAGAACTTCATAAGAGTTTGGGAAGGTCTTACAGGGCACAAACAGTTTGCTGCACTGTTTTTAAAGATAACTGGGGGCAGAGGGAAGGCAAGAAGAATCAGTGTTTCTGGCTCCCAGGTTAAGGCAGAGGTCAGGGGGCCAAGTGAGGACTGGTGATCTCAGTCAGCAAAATTCTTCACTCTGAAACTGCTTTTATGCGACCTGAGCTCTTGGAATTAAAGCAAGGTATCATTTTAAATATATAAATTCCAACATTGTAATATTCAGAATCCCCCTCATGGATCACTGCCTTGTCATGGTGAGGGGGCTTGCGTGGTTCAATGAAGCTGTGGGCTTGAAGCTCAACATCAAAAAAACTAAGATCATGGCATCCGGCCCCATCACTCCTTGGCAAATAGAAGGGGAAGTCATGGAAGTAGTGACAGACTTCACGTTCCTGGGATCCCAGATCACTGCAGACTGTGAGAGCAGCTATGAAATTAAAAGACACCTGCTCCTTGGGAGGAAAGCGATGGTGAACCTAAACAGCATGATAAAAAGTAGAGACATCACCCTGCCAACAAAAGTCCGCATGGTCAAAGCAATGGTATTCCCAGTAGTCATGCGAGTATGGCTGCGAGAGTTGGACTATAAGGAAGGCCGAGCGCCGAAGAATAGATTCTTTTGAACTATG